TTGTGTATAGAAAATATCTATAATATTTTCTAAATATTATTAGAAATATTTTCTATAGAAATATACAAGATTATTATTATCCCAAATTTTAATCTTTATATTTTATACTACTATAATCTTTACTAGCATAAAGATTGTGGTAGACTCCGGCGTTGTTCGTGTGTCAAAGTTGGAGACCGGACGCTTGAACGGTTACGTTTGCACTTTCATGGCTCTTCCTACGACTTCTTCGTTTTTACCGCTTACGGAGAAAGGTATGAATTCTTACTTACTATAAGTTTTAGTACGTGATTCTGGGCAAGATAATCATGTTAGGATGTTAAAATTTTTGTATTCCGCTGCCTATCCTTGCATGGTTACCTTTCACAATCTTCAATAATCGATTATCACTCTCAGACAATCGATTATCAGCCTTTCCCAGAAACCTGCAACTCTCAATAATCGATTGACACCCTTCTGTCATTCGATTATCTCCCTTCTCAGAAAATCCCCAAAAAATTGCCCAAGAACCTGAAGCCCTTAATAATCGATTATCCACTTTGGACAATCGATTATCTCCCCTTCCTTTCCATTAACAAGATTGTGCCTATAAAAACCTGAGCTTGGGTCCAACACCATTGTCGGACTGGAATCAGAGAAGGTCGCCCTTTAGAAGGCTCTGGAGGAGAAGGAATCTTGTCTCTTGGCATCTACGCAGCTAGGCGAAAACCAAGTAGCAATCATCCAGGAACAGGGAGCGCATATCTCCAAGCTGGGGGTGGAGCTGCATGAAGTCCAGAGAGACAGTGGCTTGGAGAACGAGGCCAAACTCCTCTAGATTGAACATAAACAACTTATCTTCAATCGGCTAAAGCAGCAAAGTCCGAGGTTAATGAACTCTGGGCGCGGGTATCTACCCTGGAAAAAGACTTGGGCTCCGTACCTTACTTGAGGGGAAAATTAGTGGATTGAAAAGGGAGGTAGCTTAACAATGATCACAAATTACTGAGTTGGCTACTCGAGCTAGTACATGTCATGTAGAGGGCATGTATGACTTGAATACTTGCATCTACAGGCAAATTGAAAAAGACCTGCCTCCCCAGACTAGCATGGAGACCTTCATAGAACATTATGGGCTCTTTGCCAGGCTTCCGCTACTGATTGATTCCTTTATCCCTTTACTGTATCTCTTCTCGTTTTCGCATGTATTTTCCTTCATCCTGGACCCCGAGGAATGTGACATTGATTTTCCTTTTGTACTGTTATGTATTGATTTCATTATCTGCTGACTTCTACCTTGCTATTCTGCTCGTACACCTCTGCACTCACCCAGACTATGAATTCTTTTTCTCCTTTACGTAAACCAGCCTACTCCCGTTTTTCGGACCCATTAGTAATTCGGCCCACCCCGGGCGGACAAAAACCCTAGTCAACCTTAGAACCAACCACTACAAAAAACTTGACCTTTTATGGCTAACTTTTTGTAGCAAAATAAATATTTGCCACAATATATAAATAGTCTCTAATTATTTGTGGCAATTCAAAATTTGCCACAAAATAGTATACTTATTGTAGCAATTTTATTAAATTGCCACTATTTTTTGAAGAGGAAAATTATTAAAGGAATTAATATTATACGGAATATAATTTTGTTTGTGAACCAAGCATTTTCCAATATACTAGTATTACTCCCGTGCGTTGCATGGCTAATATTTTTAATATGAAAGTATTTAATCACTTTATTATTTAAAAAGTAAAATTAACAACAAATATCTTATTAAATCAAAATATAAAATTTAAAAAAAATTGACTTTTGATTTTTTTGTGAACTTAATTGTTATTGCTATAAAAAAATGCCACATTAGCAGTACAGTTAATAGGTACACAATGAAATTTATGTAGTATTTAGTAAGTAATGAAGTAAAAATATGCATCAATCACTTGCCCAAATACAAATATATAGTAATTAAAAAATATAAACTTAAAACTAAGAACTTTGCATTAAATTGATATTATTATAAATCAATTAGATTACAAATTACCAATTTGAGCGATTACATTGGTTTAGAAATTACAAACAAATACAGTAAATATAAAATGCAATATATCAATTTTATTGATTGCATTTGAAAATTGCAGTCATTTAAAATTTGGATCATTTTTATGATTTACAAATAATCTTTAAAGTTGAATCACACATTATATTATTTCTATCTAATTAATTGGGGCAATCCTACATATGAAATGAATTTTAAAATTTTAGTACTAAAATTATTTTAAAACTTGGGTAGAAACTAAAAATTAATAGATCATAGAAATCCACAGATGGCGCAAATATTTATTATACATGTAAGAAAGGATTTGAAAAGAAAATAGACGTGCAAAAAATTTTCATTATAAATAATGACATTATGTATTGTAATTAATAATAAATATACAATGAACTTCTCTCCTGTCTTGAGTGGTAGCAAGCCCACTCCCCAGGATTTATGGGGAAGTTCACCCAGGTTCGAGCCCCAGCGAAGGCAGCAGCATTAGCTCTTTGTGCGTCATTAGCTTGAGAATAGTATGAACAGATACTACCTTGTATAGAGTCAATAGCATTCAAAAAAAATAATAAATATACAATAATATTTACGTTCCTAACAGCTTTTGGTTACCTTTTATGTTTTACACTAACTATTATAATTCTTCATTTAACATTAATTTATTTACTATTTTATTTGAGCAATGCTAGAGTCCTAAAGAAACCGTTCATAAAAATCACAAACTTGTCTTTTTAAGTTCTTAGTAGAAATAAGGTACACTTAAATAATAAAAGATATTTTAATTTAATATCTACAGACGACAAATTTGTGAAGTTTGTGAGTTATTTGTTTGTGCCATTTATATTTTTTATTTTTATTTAGAACACTCCATTTATTTAGAACTTTTTTTTTGAAGCACCATTTATTTAGAACATTTATTTACTTACCATTACTATAATCCTCCATGTACCATGTTGTATCATAACTTACCATTTTATTTAGAACTCTCCATTTATTTAGAATATTTATCTACTTACCATTACCGTATTCATCCCCATTTTATTTAGAACACTCCATTTAATTAGAATATTTATTTATTTACCATTACCGTATTGCTCCAAGTACCGTGCTGTAAAATTAACATTTAATTTCATACTATTATTATTATGGAGTATTATTTTTATTAACGGTACCATTTAATAAGGTCACCTGTTATATGATTATTAACGATCCTGACATTTTTAGTCATTAGTTACGTTACCATTTACATAGTATGTTTTACACGATGACAATTTTACATGTTTCCATATAATTCCAAATTATACTCATGATAAACTATAATGGGAACATAAATAATTACACATGGTCAAAGTCCCATTTAATTATATTTATTTATTTTTAAATTATATTTATAAATTTATTTATTATTTTGTTTATTAATTTTAGAAATGGGACGATATAATTATGTCTCATTTTAATTAAATATCACCATGTATAAAAACAAGAATACGCACAATCTACCATTTAATTATATATATTTATTATTAATTTCATACTATTAATAATATTTCATGATGAATTAGTATACCGCATTAATTCCAATACGTGAGAGTTAATTGTGATACCTTAAATAGAATCTATTAATTTGGTAGTTTATGAAGATGAAGGACAATCGTAGATCTAATGAAATCAATGGTGCTGAATGAATGTGCTTTGGGCGGGAAAAGTTTGGGACGAAATTCTCCTACTTTTAAGAATAGAATGATAATACGAAGTATACAGTATTTATGACACTAATTTCCCCAATCCCGCCAAACCAAATTAGCCAAATAAGGAGTTTATTCACTCAATCCCTCCATTATCTTTTTCAATAGCCTCCTTTTTTTCTAAACCTAACCTCCTTACTTAGTCGCCTCCGGCAAATTATATGGTACATCCAGCTGTACCTTCCTTTAGGTACAACCTGATATTTTTGTAAATTTTGCAAACTTTTTATCCAATGCCCAAAACATATATATGAAACTATTATATATATATGACAATGAGTAACAACAGATTTGAGAAAGAGTACCAGCACTTATGAGAATTATCATATTCTTATTCAATACAAACATGAATAAACCTGTGTTTTAAATTCTCCATGCTCAGAGATTACAAATGAGTAGGAACGAATCGAATAGAGGAAGAAGTTGATGATGGTACTGAACTTTTTAATTATAAAAAAATTGAACAATACTTTATTTCAGAGTGAACATTTTCTTATTTGAGAATGAGTATTGTTTTTTTAAAGAATGAACACTACATTATTTATTATAATTATATTAAACAAATGTATAAAAATGAGTACTTCTTTATATTTAAAATGAGTACTACCTTTGCCAGAATGAGTATTACGTATTTCGAAATGAATGTTTATATTTCTACGAGAATGAGTACTACTTTATTTCTAGCCCTAATATGTATCTACCATATACCAACTCGTCGCCTCTTTCAATCGTCTGCAAAATAGTGAAACATACAAAGCAAGAATCCATAGCAAGGAGTTCAATTGCCTTCTTATTCTTCGATTCTCTTTAATCTAGAGCAGCGACAATCCCTTCGACACCCAAAGCAAGGAGTTCAAGCCAATTACTCCACTTCTTACAAGTCGGCGGTTCCAATTTGCGAGCTAGGTATATAATTGTTTAAAATATTAAAGTTTTTGTTTATGTTATCAAAACCTTATAATTTCATATTGTTTAAGAAATATGAATTTGAGTTAATTAAAGATGTGCACACTTCACAGTTCAATTTTGGTTTTAAATTTTAATTGCCCAAGAAATTTTATTTTCTTATGTAGAGAAAATATCCTAGAGGGATTTTGATTTTTGAATCACTATCCCTCTTTGCTCTTTCTCTATTTGTTTTTAGTGATAATCTTAGTTTTTGGTATCTATGAATGATTCTGGATTTGTTAACAGTTGCCTCATGATTCAATTTCCTTCAATTATGTTTATTCATGCATCTGAATTTGTTAGTTTAATACTTAAAAATGATTTGTTAGTTTTTCAGTGTGGTTTTTAAGGTATTTGGTTTTTAGTCTTCAGATTTAGGGAAGGGTTAAACCGGATGCTTTATGTTTTTCAGTTCTCTTATTCTGATCTTTTGGTGTAAGGTATTGGAGCAATGGATTTTAGTTCATAGGCTATAATTTAGGTGGACAGTATTTGGTTTTTCAATTTCTAGTGTTTGATTCTTTTCTCATTGCTTGTATTTCTAGGAGCACATACAGTTAAGAGTACCATAAAAGTCATGAAATGATCCAAAAGTATTACATCTGCAGTATTCCATGGTGCCAGACAACTGTAAGGGGGATAATAAGAGGTTTATTTCAACTTAGTGGCCTATTATGTACCTCTTTAGTCTTCATCTTCCTGTTTTATGTATGCTTTCCATTTGATGATTACTTGTTCTTGCTTCAAAATGAACATGACACAAATGAGGCATGTTTATCTTATATGTTCTGCTCATTGTAATTTGTAAAATTTTGGTTTATCCTTATGTTTTCATGTTAATTTCCGGAAAATTTTCAATTTTTTTAAATCATAGAAACAAAAAAACACGTTTATGGGGGTGAGAGAGGGGGGCCCAAAGTCCCAAACTCAGGAGTCATGAGAACTCAGAGCTATGGCACCTACGGGCTACCCAACTGAGGCACCATTCCTGATTTAAATGTTACTAACTCTTTACTTTTCTCAGTTCACTTTATTTCTCTCTTGCTTTTAAAATGATTTGACATCACATTTTACCTGTTACCTTTAATGACCGCCAACATCAAATATGCACCACAGTTAGCAATGGAGCCATGGAGGGAGAAATTGTTTCTCTTTTATCTAATCTTATTTGAATGACAAAAATCTTTTTTCAAAGATACAAATCATCAAAGACAATGCATTCCAATTGTAATAGATTACAGAAACAGCAATCCATCTAAACATTTACTATTTCAGACACTCTGCTTCAAAAAGACTACAAATTGATTAAGAAACAGTAATGCTACTAAACAGTACCATATACCTTAAATATCACAACATCAATTAATCAATCCCTTAAAAACCCAATCTTTCTTTCTGAAAAATTTCAAACTCAGTTACTTTAATTTCAATTCGAACCCTCTCCACCACTACGCACACAAATACCACAATTATGCACAACAAAACCCTAGAAATGCATCATACAAAACATCAAAGCACTGATGACATTTTATCAATCAACGACTCATGCTACACCCATCCTCACCCAAAACCCCCAAAAAAAATTAAAAAAACTTGACCTAGAATCCTCAATTTTATATTACCCACTCCCCCCCCATTCCAAAATCAATGACATAAAAAATAAACTTTGTGCATCGTTTTTCACAAACGCAACTACCAAACACATCCGAAACCCTACTGGAACACATGCAATTACTTGTTCAAATCAGAATCGGCCCGATTCCATGGCCACTGGAATCCAGTGGCCACGGAAGCCAC